ATTATTATTATTTATTTNTTTNTTTNTTTTTATAATTTTTCTTTTTTTTTTTCAAATATTGATTTATTATTTTTTTTTTAGATCAAATACAAAAATATTATCCATTTCTAAAAGTAACAATCAAATTAATTCATGCTTTGAACCTACACCACCAATGAGTAGTTATTTGTATGCATTTACTGTATTTGACCGGATGAGTTCAATGAAAGAAGCGGAAAAACCGAAAGAGTATTTACCGGAAATTGAAGTACTGTATTCTGAAGAAGATAATTTGATTAAACCTGATTGGATTAGCACTGAAGCAATACATGTATGCAAATTTGTTTTTGTTTTTTTTTTTTTTTTCGTCAACAAACATAAAATTATGAAAATTTTGAATTCAAAAATTTTTTTTAAATTCTAGCATTTTCCCTTTAAACAATTTATTTTGAAATAATAGAATGAATCATTTGAAAGGAAAATTTGAAATGAAAACTTATTTTAGGCGCTAAAAGTAATGGCAAATATTAGCAATTTTCAATATCCATTGAATAAACTCACCTTGATGGCATCATTTTTACCTGTTTATGGACAAGAAAATTTGGGCCTTATCATATTGGATGAACGATTTGTAGCCTATCCAAAATATCGCTTGGCTCATACCATTCTTGCGCATGAAATTGCCCAACAATGGATCGGTAATATTGTTACGGTTAAAAACTGGAAAGAAATCTGCTTACAGGTTCATTTATTTTCAATTTTTTTTTTTCACTTAATTTTTATCCCATCATTTTCTTTATTGATTTGAAATTTCAAAATGAAAAATTTTTTAAAAAAATCAAATTTAAAATCTGAAATAAAATGTAAAATTCCCTGAAATTCAAATTTATTGTGGCATAGATGAACAGGGAAATATAAGAGAGAGTTCAAACATACCGGAATATATTCACGGGAATTTACCGGAAGTGTTTGTTAGTCGACTAAAATTTAAAAAATTTGAATTCTGGGATCTTTATTAACAAAAGAATAAAATAGAGTGATTTAATTGTTGACATTATGAATCATTCTTAGAGAGACATTTAGTGCTTAGTGTCACTGACCACAAAATGAAATGTGCTATTGACGGATTATTTATTCATTTATTACTTTGTTGTGTATCTATTTGTCTGTCTTTAAAATTATCTTTATCAGTATTTTATCACTTTTATCAGATATCTTTGTTTATTTAATAATTTTTCTTTTTCCATCTTTATAATCATTAAATTTTCAAAATAAAAATTTAACTTTGCATCATAAAAATAGCACAAGCTTGAATTTAGGTCAATTTTTAACCTCAGATTGGATGAATCAGCCAAAAATTACCTGATAATTATAATTCATCTTTTTTTTTATCCTCCAAAGAAATCAATTTTTGAAAATTTTGCAAATTTTTTATCTAAATGATTTGCATAACTTAATTAATCCTCCATATCTGTTCTGGTAGATTTAACAACAAATATGATTAATTTTGTTGAGGACATAATGTTATAATTGTATTAGCTTATCAGTGATCAATGATCAATGTCAAAAGATCGATTGGACAGTTGCCGAAATACAATTATCAATCATAAAAGAATGCGACGGTGACAATGAGTAGACTGACTTTTGTTTGAACACAACATCAAGATATTCATAAAAATCGAAAGGTTCAATGCTGGTAGAGGTGTCATTTGTTTGGAGATTTGCTTTTAGAAGATGCCGAGCTGATGGAAACAGCTGCTTTAAGTTGATAAATTACTACACTACAGGAGAGCAATGTTAACTTGATTGGACATTATATCAAAAGGTCAATAGGACAATGGCTAGTACAGGAATTCATTTATTGAACTTTCTTTAAAACTTATTGCTTCCTAAATGAAATATTTGATGAATTCTTAAAATCGTTCAATATGTTAAAATAAATTTAGCAAGCAGAATCAAAATTCCTAAAATTTTTTGAAAAAGCACAGAAGAAATAATTGGTGACAAATTGTTGTCCACATTCCTTAAATATTACTAAATATGCCGACTAATCTCTATTTTTATTTAAAATTTTGATGTGACATTTTCTTTTTAAACATCTCTTTAAATATCACCAAGTATGAAGTCTAAATAAGAATTCAATTAAAATTACTTCAAAAAAATCTTCAAGTTTAACAATATTCAAAATAATTGCTAAAGAAGAAAGATTTCTTTATTTTGGATAGTTTGTCAAGTAAAATGTTAATCCTGTCTTTCTAAGAAACTAATTATAATATTCAAGTGCAGGTAGCACAGGTAAAGTAAATTAAGAGATATATCTTGCTATATTTCATTCTGTAAATGCTTGTTCAAGTTTTTGTTGCAAAATTTACCACAAAGAGATGTAAATTAGATGAAAATAAATTTTTTGAAAATTTTAAATAAAGCAAAATTGCTGAAAATACAAATGAAAATTTTACTTACTAATTAGACAATTTTCTTAAATATTTAAAATAAATTATTTCAAATAATTTCTAGCGAAAATTTTATTTCTTGGAAAAATTTAATGAAAATTTAAAACCAGAATAATTAATTAATTCAGATTCAGAATTTTTTTTCTTTATTTTTAGAAATTCTTAGAATTTAAGATAGTCCCGTTTAAGAGAAAGAAAAAAATCTTCGATAACCAGAAAGTTTTAGGAAAAAAAATAAATACTAATTTCCTAAATATCATATTACCTATAATTGTCGTGATAACTTGCGATTGTGCTAACACCTGTATTCGATCTTTTCCAATTCCTTCACCTATCATTACTTCATCCTATCTCAGAAACCAGATGCGCAGCAGGGGTTAGAACAACAGTCACCACTTATTGAAATAATTTAGTGAGAGAAAAAATGATTTATTTATTTTACAAAGATAGAAAACAAATAGACAAGTAAACAAGTAATGAAATGAAATTTAAGTTTTAATTTAAATATTAAAAAATTGACATTTTTATCAGAATTTCTTGTTTCTTAAAAAATTTTAATTTAAATTTTTGAATTCAAAAATATCACGAAATCATTTTCATTTCCGAATCCTAAATTTTATATTCGACTTGAAATTTTTCACTAAATGTATCTATCATATATTTTCTCCTCACTTCATGCAACAATTATGCTATATGATGTGATAGAACGGAATTTTTAAAACAAATCAAATTAAGTCAGAGAACCTAAAATTATATTTCAGGAAAGTTTAAGTACCTATTTGAAATGGATGATACGTGATAGAACGGAATTTTTAAAACAAATCAAATTAAGCCAGAGAACCTAAAATTATATTTCAGGAAGGTTTAAGTACCTATTTGGAATGGATGATCACAAAATCATTGGATAATTCAACCGAAATCGATGAATTAATTAGTGAGAAACGTCGTGAAGGTATTATGAAAGATAGTACAACTTCAACAACCATTGTTACAGAATTTCGTTCACCTGAAGATGTATGCATTTCATTGTTCTCATTTTTATTTAACAAATATTATTTGATAATTTTATTCAATAATCATTTGCTTACTTATTACCATACTTATTCTTTGATCTCCATTCTTCTAATTTGTTTGTTAAATTTTTTCCTCTTAATTATTACTTTTTTTTGTTTTCAATAATTTTACTAAAGAATGAAATTTTACAGATTTCACGATGTTTTGATAAATCAGCAACATTCTTTATTATGCTTGAACTTGGATTTGGACAAGGGACAGTGACAAAACTAATCAAGTAAGTGGTCATTCAAATTGTAATCATTTAAGAGGAGAAGATGAAAGATGTGAAGAGTTTGGAATGGAATATTTATTATTGAAAAGTAATGGAATAATAAAATTAAATTGGTATAAACAAGTGTAGATTGATAATATTTAAAGAATGTATTTAAATTCTTAAAATTCAAAAGCTTTCTATAACTTCCATTAATTTATTTATTAAAAATTTACTTTTCAGATATTTATCCGCAAAATGTTGCTAATATTACTAATTAAATATCATTAATAAATTACTAATTACTCATTAATAAATTACAGATTACTTATGCAGCGTTATTCTTTTGCTAATGCTGGAATAATGGAATGGCGTAATGTGATCGAAGAAGCTGCTAATAATGTCATAGCTGGTTTGTTTTCATTTACATCAATGTTTTCATCAATATGTCGATTTATTTTTATTTATTAATTTGAAATTTGAATTAAGGTGAATTCTTTGAGAAATATTTCATGCAACCTGGCTTACCACTTATTCGTGTCACCCCCACTACAGATGGATTAAAATTGACGCAAAGTGTGACAGTTATGAAACAAGTGACAAATGTAAGTTCCGCTTATTACATTAAAATTTCTTGATATTATCATTCATTCATCGATAATAACGTGCTCACATTAATCAGAACGATATCATTTACTTTTTTCTTTTCCCCCAGAATTGTTTGAAATACGAAATTTAAATTATAATTTTGAGTGCTTTAAAATTATTTTAGTTTTTAAATTTATTCAAATTTTTTGCTTTTTTTTCAGGTACGTTTTACTAAATGTAACTTAAGAAATGTATGAATTTCATGAAGTATCATGAAGTAAGGTGTATTTAATTTATTTCGTGTTATGATTCAGAATCCTTGACAACTTGACAGAATCCTTGACAACTATTCAACTTCTTGTTATGATTCAGAATCCTTAACAATTTTAGGTATCTCTAGCTATTATACCATTGGATGTAGCTGTTATTGATGTACCCGATCGAAAAGTGGTTATTTTAAGTAATGAAACAGAAATGATACCATTAAAACATAATGGATTAATAGTAATTGATCCAGATAGACGTACGCATACTGTAATTGTTTATGAAGTAAGTTTAAAAAAAAAAAAATTACTTTTAAACTATAACATTCAAAATGTTAAAATTAAAAGAAGATAGATTAAATTTAAAATGATAATAAGGATGGAATTTTCTAGATGCAAAAGAATTTATTTGATATTAGAAGGAAAAAGATTTTAATAGTAATTGTGAAAATACTTCTCCTTTTGTTTGGCTATTTGATGTATTTGATTAATTTAAAATTTAATTCTAACTAAACATTTAATTCATCGAAAATCTATTAAACTATTTACGCTTCAAAAAAAAAAAATTGAATTATACCTTATTTCAGCCCGAAGTTTATTTACGTTTGGTGCAATGTGCTGAAATATCATCATGTTCAGAATTCCTAAAACCAGAAACGATGAAACGTATTTCAGACGATTTTTGTTGGGCTTTTTTGGGTAATCATTTTACAATACCTGAAAATATGCCTCATAAAGCTCAACTTTGGATGCAATTTATGCAAATTTTATCGGGAACAAAATATGTGCATGGTTCTTGCGCATGCTGTATGAATAAGAATTTGGAGAAATCCGGATCAGTAAGATGTAGTTGGCATTGGAATGATGTATGTGAGGAACTTAGCTTACTTGAACAAATTCAACATTTCACATAATTGGGATTTTTTATTCAATAAAATATTTCTTAACAATTAAATTTGTTTTTTTCTTCCGAAAACTTTTAAAATAACCAAATCTGAAATTTAATTCTACTTACTGAATACCTATAGTAGAAATGATAAAATATAAATTTAAAAATTTTTCTTTTAGTACTAAATATCAAGTATATCAGAATAGAAGAAAAAAAAAAATCATTCAATCCAAAATATTACTTAGCTATATAGCTAACAATTTGTACATATGGTTAATCTGAAAATAATTTTAACCATCAAATTATTTTTTTTTCTAATTCATTTGTTTAACTTTAATTGATTAACTATCAATTATCTCCTTTCCTCATATTATTTCAATCATCATCCGGAAAAATAGCTTCATATTTGATCAAATTCAATTATTGCTATTTCCTTGTTGTAAAAAGAATAACCGAGTGGGATTTTGTGAAAATCAAATGTATAAAATGCAAAAATAAAATTTTAGAAATTTTATAAAATAACATTACCTATGTTTTTGTGCACCTTTTATAAGGGAAAAAGTTTTTAACGTTAATCTTTCTTGTGTAAGGAAATGTTTGTCTATGTAATCGTTTATGAATGCTGTTAACGATCTCAACTGAATTAGCATAGAGTTGCATATTTTGTTGTCGATTTTAAGTGTTGTTTAATAATCTTTCTTAATGCTTTACTTTATCATGATGATAGTCTTATGAATCAGTTTTCAAATATTCTTTGATCTCCAATCATTAACCCAAAGATTTACCTTGTATGAAGATTTAAACCAATAAGCTCGCGAATCAATATTAAATTGAAATTTTCTGGTGCTTTCAACGAATATCCTATTCTAGCACGTTCTACTGTAGCAATTTATTTCTAAAAAATAAAAGAGAAATGATTGGATAGCCAACTTTCATGGCCAACAAAGAAGTTTGACTTTCTCGGGATTATATTTGGAAAGGTTATTCTAAAATTCCGAAAAGGCAGACATTTTGGATTCTCGTCTGCTCTGTAGAAGACAAATATCTAATAATTTGATTATGTAAAAATGAAGATTTCCCATGACAACCATGTTTCACATCCAAACAATTTTAATCAGTATGAACCTATATCGAATCTGATTTTGCATAGACTATTTACAATACCACTGGTAAAGGAAATTCCGGAAAAAGTTGACACAAAAAAGTTCTTTGAAAAGAAAAGAAACTTTTTTGAGAAAACATTTAAACAAAGCGAAGTTGGGAAACAGTATAAAAGTATCATAAATCAGAGCGCTCTTAATAGGATCAAGCAAGAACGATAATATTAAACAATCCATTAAGTGCAGAACAATACGCTTATTTATTTTGAACTTAACAAATTAGAAAATATCAAGAATATCAGGAAATGCCCTCAGTGTACCTCCTGAAACTGAAGCATTTATCAGCTGAATATTAATTTTTGGAAACAAGGCTCATGATATTAAGACCTAATGAATTTAAGAGTTCTGTACAGATTTCAGCACTGAAGACCACCTGCACCGACCATATCTTCGAGTTTTCATATAACCGCTCATAACTCAAGAGAAAATTCTATATATTCAATACCAAAAAATCAAAAAGAATCAGTGATTTCAATTCGACAAAATAACAGGATGATATTCCTCCTAAGTGAAACTTAAAATGAAAAATTATCTCTAAGAAAATGTCAGCCTGCAAATATACAACAAATTTAACAATTAAATAACAACAGATAAGAGAAAGAGCGCAAATTACAAATGGAACTATCTTTCAGCAACACCATCCTTCGGTACCACTTTCTGCACTAGCATCACTAGCTTTCAGCAGTAACTTCTGCTCCTTCCGAGCTCTTTCTTCATTACTTTGAACATGCATTGGCTTACTTTGTTGCAACTTATGCACCAGTGTCATAAAAATTGATTCAACATGATCTGCTTCCGTATCTGCTAGTGCTGACGTTTCGAACAACGCCATATCATTTTGATCAGCAAACATCTGCAAAAAATTTCTGCATAAAACATTTTACAGAAAAGAAATGAACAGTTTACGACAAAAAAAAAATTTCCTAAGTCTCGTTTGCTGTTCTATAATCAAAAATCTTGTTGTTTCCAGACCTTAGATTATTGTACTTCTAATGTTTATAAATCATAGATTATGCAGCTATCACTGCACCAAGCGTAGCTTCTGAAAGAAATCAGCGATGTTAATCCTCCTTTAAGTACTTCATTTAATCGATACTTCAGTAAAACCTATCACTTGAATTTAACGAAAAAAAAATTTGTATTTGAAAGAATCAAACCTGAGCAACATCAGTTTTAATCCTGTTTTCCACTACCAAATCACATTTATTTCCAATTAGTATATGCGGTGTATCATTTGTTGACGAAACCGAATGTTTGCGGCATTCATTGATCCAGTCATTCAGCGAATGAAACGACGACGGATTACTTACATCATAAACGAATACAACGGCATTCACATTGCGATAATAATGCGATACAATTGATTGCCGGTAACGTTCCTGTCCAGCCGTATCCCATAGCTGAACCTGAAGTTGTGAGAAAAATGTTCCTCATTATGATTTCAGTATTATTCTTACAAGCAGTTCAAAAATCCATAACTGATCTTTATTCATTAACTCGTTCTATGTGAGTGAAGGGATAAAATTACAGGTCTTTTCGGTGAGTGAACTCGGGAAAAACATTTATCTATGCTTAGTAAATTTATTCTTTTCTAATGTCAGAAAAAAATACAAAAAGTAAACTTTTCCGAACTTTTTAAACTTTTCCCCACAAGACGATGATGTATTACGGAACGAAGCATTATTTTTTGGGAGAAAAGTCCGAGACTTTTTTGTATCTTTTTCGATAACAAAAAAAGCCACAGTTCAAACAATTTGGTTAGATAAGTTTGAAGAAATTTGCTTCTTTTCAAACCCTTATCAGTACTCATGTCGAACCGACATGAGAGATTCAACGCATGAGAGAAAATTAACTGAGTTAAACTGTATGCTTTTCACTCCTTACCACCACATAGAACTCACGTTAGAAATTGGTCAATTTTTATTGACTGGTATTTTTTCGTCTTATCAAAACAGTTTTTTAGTACGTTTATATATCTGTAAAAGCTGACTAATACCTCAGACAGAAATATGGTATATGCTGGTAAAAACAGGAAAACAAACCCTTATCAGTTCACCGTCGATAGCAACGGAACGTTCTCGAAAATCCACCCCTATCGTTGCTTCCGTTTGAGCCGGAAACCTTCCATTACAAAAACGAAAACTAAGACAAGTTTTCCCAACTCCAGCATCACCTAATATGATAACCTGAATGCAAAACTCAGACTTACTAAAACACAGTGATTAATATCAAGACGATGAGACACTGGAAAAACAAAAAGAGCAGTGAAATTACTAAATCGAAAATAGATCCATCCTAGTGTTTATAGCGATCAACAATTAGTTATATCATTAATTAAACCTGAAATGGTAATAAGGAACGAAATTCATTTAATTAATATAAGTAGCATGCCTTAATCTAGTGAATTACTAAGGTAACCTCCTAAATGGAAGAAAACACGGTAGATACCTTAAAAACGCGCTTTGTTCGATATGTTTTTCCGGGTTGGTAAGCATAAATTGCTCCGGTAGTATATTTTGATGAAATTGCTTGTGTTTTATCTGCACTTTTCTCCACATGAGTGGAATTATCAGTGGATGCTGCTTCCAGATAAGGGACACGACTGAGACCAACATCAACTGAAAATAAGAAAATATCGAGTCCCACTAACCCCCATCTTGCTCTCTTTTTTTGTTTACCAGGAATATAAAAAAAATATTTAAAAAAGAAATATAAAAAGAATAAAAGAAATATAAAAAAAAAGATGAAAATTTTCCAATTAAAAGAGGAAAAATATATGTCTGGAAACATTACATATTTGAACGAATATGATTAAAAGCCCAACTTACTCTGACTTTGTCCTGATTCCTCCGTTGAGTTTTTGGTAGGAAGATGCAAATTAGGCAACGATGTTTGTGGTGTCAATGTCGTAACAACTGTACTAATTTTGGGTGCTGACATGATAATACTGGGCTCTAGCAGTCGTTGTGTCGAAGTTTCCTGCACGTTGGTGGCAATTTCACTGGGCACAGACATATTCATCACTGCCCTTCTTTCTAATATACAGCTTAAAAAAAAAAAAAAAAATTAAAAATCAATTCCCAGCAAACATACTGAATTTCTTTAGTGAATAGCAGTATATCATCTTGAAGGACTTGATATCCTGTCACAGCTGCATTTATCTACATACTGATCATAAGACAAATCCAGAACCACCTAACATGACATAATCAAATCCAAGTACTCAGAACAACCCACGGATTGAAACCTTCTTATGATAGAAAAGCAAAATTGGATTAAATGACCAAAAAATTCTCTGAAAACTGCTGTAGATTTTAGCGTTCATTTCAGAAAACGGTGAAGATCATCAGTTCATCCACAAAATCAACTTATAATCCGCAATTACAGAATATTTTAAAAAATGAACACATAGTAAAAATGCATATTACACAAAGTGAAAAGTGATGGGAGCTACAAAAACACGCTTCAGGTTTTACGAAAAAGATATAAACACTGCCATTATCCTGCAGCTATGCAAACATGGCATCAACGTACAACAAATACTTTATTTTACACTATATACAGTTTATAATTATACATATACATATATATTTTTCATATTATACATAGCTTATATTATACATATACATATATATTTTTTATTTATATGTATGTATAATGTAACTATAAATATCAGATAAAACGAAACATATACACTTATCATCATGAGTATCCCTCTGGAAACTATAATTAAACCGTGCGATTGCATGTAGGTAAAATGTGTGCTACTGAAAAGACCAGATATATGAACCAGATGAAATAGTGGAATATCAGAATAAAATAACCCTATACAATTCAAAGTTTTAACAATAAAAAGCAGATGAATTGAAATCTTGGGGATTTCGAATGGCGTAATTATTTGAAATCAAATAACATCATCCACCAATGACATTGGATGTGCACGAGATTTTCGCCGCAAACACCTAAAATAATTTTTGGAAGAATTCAGCATTGTCAAGTCAGATAAAGAATTCAGCATTGTCAAGTCATTGTCAAGTCAGACAAGTCAGATAAAGTCAGATGTCAAGTCAGATTTTTTCGCCCACGGAAATGAAGAAACAAGAACCTCTCGCTCTAATCAAAAGGAATTAAAATCACGACTGCTAAGAACAAATTAATAAACAGCTATCAGAATTCATATAATATGTGGTCGTATCATGGTGCCAACCTCGGACAGTGTTTGCTTTTTCTGTTGAAACACTCTTGATGAAAAGTAGCTAAGCAATCCAGACAGGTAGCCACATTCTCGGAGAATGGGAAAATGACCTTAAAGAAAAAACAGTCCCAATACAGTGGAAAGAAATACAACTGAAAATCATTATTTTGGGTATACTTTATCCTGACGAAAATTTTGAAAAACTTCAAACAGTTTGAAAAATGGAATTTCCTTACAGTAGTATCGTCACATAATTCGCAAATGAATCCTTTTCCTTTGCAGATTAAACAGTCTTTCGTGATATGTTCTGTATATATTTGTATAATTCTTTCAACATCCGGTAACAGTCGCCCTTGATATAAATCCACCAAGTCTTTCAAGCTATACATGTCCGAATTTTCGACGAAATGTTGACGATGTCTCAAATTTTGTAAAATTCGCTGCTTGCGGGCCACCTTCAATGAAAAATTCCACAAAATTCTTATAATGAGCTGCTTCCTCAAGTTATGAATTCAACAGTAATGAAACTCATTTCAGCAAATTTTTGGTAGTTATTAAATCCCACCTTACAACACACGAAGTAACACTTCATCAACAATATATTTCGTCGTAGTTTATTTATTTTGGCTAGTTGATCAACATAATTCACTAGTCCTGGATTCAACTTCAAAATACTGAAAAGTGGTCGCCTTTCGATGATAACCAATAACTGCTTTGAAGCTCGACAAACCTGAGAATTAAAGAGTTCTATGTGAATCAAAAATTTTCCCAGTCAAGGAAGAATTTAAAGTAGTCGATAAATGTAACATACCCATTTACCTTATACTTGCTGAAATCCCAATTGTGTATTATGCGAGCCGGAATAAACCATTCATCGTTCCAGTGACAACGTGGACAATAATAATGGCCGTTGTAGTCACACAACCGTGGTTCACCATCAGTTGTACCATCTTTAAATTTAATATAATATACAAAACTTCAAGGTCTTACAAACCAAAGAAGCGAGTTATCTAACTCACCAAATTGCAAAGGGTGGTGACACTCTGCACATTTGTAGTTTTGTAGATCAAGTCCACGCTCCTCACAAATTTCTATCCTTGGCCTGCAATTTTATGCAGAAATTGGTACTGCGTAGGACTCGAACGAAATATACATCGAATATAACGAAGTTTCAGCAAAGATTCTTCATGAATATAATATATAACGCTTCTAGATATTTAATATATCTGCATGAGAAAAGACTCTGGACCAGTATTTACAATTAATAAATAACAAGCCTAAAGAAAATATTGTTCGCTTTAATGTTAGCACAGTAGCGCAAAACGTGCTGCACACATTTGTCATGTGATCGGAAACCACAATCTGTAAAGCTTATTACTTTGTATATGTAAAATGGAGTATACTGAAATTGATGACGGTGATCATTTAAAGAAATATCATATTATTAGTAGAACTTTGCTATCTGGTCCCTATCCAAAACCAATTTATTTCAGATAAGAGAACTAGATTAACCCATTTTGTATATTATACATATTCTTTACTTAGAATTAAGTGAATACGATATGTTTTTTCAGACATTTCTCAACAAAAATTGCTAAATTCATTTCAACACAGCTTACTGTTACATCGTCGGTAACGTTGTATCAAACGCCAAATCGTAGATAAGCAAACTTCACAATATGGATTTCGACCAGTAGCTGATTGCAAGGAAAACTGGTGTCCCATCACAGTTATCGCACGCAAAGCTCGAATTCTTTGCACTGGGTCAGATAACTCTTCCTATAAAAAAATTAGTATGTCCTATCCATATTAACTTTTTTTAAACTTATTTCGACATTACGTTTCGTTTTGGAAGGTGTCACATAAACCATATTTATGTACCGCCATCTTTTCCCTGTTAAGCAGGGGCCCAATAATTTTAAGAAAGTATACTACCTTTAAAGCGTCAAGTTCAAGCTGATATTGCACAAGTTTTCCCATGAGTTGCATCCGTTCGATACTCCTCTCATCATCCTGAAATTTGGACTAACTATTAAAATATCCCGAAAAATTGACCAACATGAGTTCACATCAAAATCGTACACCGATCCTTCGCAAACGTTTCTTGCAATGAGCGATGGCTAATTCCAGTTCTGCACAACGTGCCATTTCGTCCTTATTCCCCTTCTCATGAATGATGATTTCAGCGACTTCCCTGCTTATCAAATTATCGACCCCAATATCAGCACTAAAATTGTTTGCATTAAAAACAATCAACAATCCTTTCAGATCGATTTTACTTAACCCCATGAAGTAGTTTTTTTGAAAGTTAATGCTACTTTCTGTTTGAATTTCATTAAACGAGACGGCGAAAATTCCATCTTTATAACACAGTTAAAATCACTTATTTTGTTCCACTCTGATCTCTTCACTATCCGCAACAACATTCGGTATGTCTTTCACATTTCCATCAAGATCCAATCCATCATTTTCAACTCCATGAGAACAAGCCACGTCTGCCGTTTGTGCCATTTTAGACCTGAAAATGATGAACTTTGAATCCAGTACGATACAATGATGAACCTGAGATGATAAAAATTCCACTGCAATACAAAGCTGTCAGCGAACAATTATTAAATTTTATAGATTTGAAATCCAATTCTGTGACAGCAACGGATAGTAAAACAAAGATATGGAAGTTTCAAAAACTGACGGTTTTGTAATGATATGGATATATGACTGAAGATAGAAGAGACAATAGCGATTACTAAAATTTAAAAAACGTCATACTTTTAAGTTAAGAAGACCAACAAATAGCAGTATGGCTCAGTTCAGCCGTAATTATATTTAGTGATAGATAATGTGTTAGAGTTACAATTTTAAAGAAACAATAAGTTGGTAAAATCTTGGATACAGCATTTGTGGATAATAAGGAAATCGATAGTACCGTTATTTTAGTGAATAATATGCGCGCGTTTACGTCACTCACCTCTTTCTACGTCAATATCGCGTCAGCATGTTAAGCTTCAACGGACCGTGCATGGGCTGCGATAAATTTAGCTTTCAAAAACGTAAAGAAGACGTTCCAGCATTGCTGATTATTTCAATTTATAGTTTTTCATTGTGTTTTGATTTCACTGAATTTGTTCTCGAACGCGCAAATATCTCTTGTATCCAATTCTAGTCTTTTTTACACAACTTTAGGGTCGCGTGACTTGCGTCACGCTATTTCTTATTAATGGCAATGGGAGTATTAGCAATGGGATAGTATAGGACGAATCA